CAACTGCCTATCTTACCAATTTCTATAACCTGTTTAACCTTGAAATAATCTTCTCCAAATATATACTGGTTGGCTGCCCCTTTTTTTTTCTTAGAAGATTGGATAACATTCTCTTGGAAAATACTTAACCTGTTAAACTTCAGAACCAATCATAGATATTAAGGATGTTGTAATCATCTCCAATATTGTATTACTAACAAAGCATACTTGTAATAGCCATGATCCAAATATATCTCTCCTTGCCATTCTAGATTTGCTTGCAAAATTCCTCTATTAAGCCACGACCATACAAAAATAGAATTTTCATCTCGTCTCTTTGTTGGCCCAACAAAAATTATCTAATCGGTCCAGAGGTCCATTCGGTATTAGAAGGAAAAGAAAGCACAATTTTACGTTATTATCGTATAGCTTGACTTAAGCCGTATGAGTATTTCTTTTCCTGCTCGCGAAGGATTATAAATGTTCTTCCTTTCAATCCTAAGCCTTGCTGTCACTCTCTATCAACCAAATGTACTAGAACGCAGCCTATCTCGATTACTAATATAGTGTCAGTAATCCTAAAATATTTGAATCCTAGAAATTTCTTTCACTCCTGTTTTTTTATATAGCACCACTACAATCAAACGAAATAAGGATAATTAAGACGAAAGAAACTTAGATTTCATAATTTATTTTACTTTGGAGCTCTTTCAATAAGCCTAAAGGAATTTTGCTAACCCACTTCCACTGTCCATTCTCACCATTAGCTGTAGCCAAAACACTAAATTATATACTAAAGGATCTTGCCTAGTCATTACTTCTGAACTTACCTACCATTACCCTCCAGCCAAAATAGTGTTGAATTGACTAATGCGACAATAATTGAATTCTTGTTTTAAAACCATATCATTCCGACCCATAACTAATATGGGTAATAATAAAATACATAATTAATATAGCATAAAAATCATTAAATTCGCATAAATAATTAAATTTGTATCTAAATATTTGATAATAGAATATGAAACCATAATATGCAATAAGTATAAATAATATAATCTAAAATTAATTTTCTTGAAGCTCAGCCTAAAATTATAATAGCCGCCATAAAGAGTAAACTAGGTAATTTATTACCAATAATTACCGCATATGATACTAATAATAATAACTGGACAAATTATTAACATAATGAATTATGCTTTTAGCTTTTATTTATTAGAGAATAAATTAAATCAAGAAAAAAATGTAATTGGAATCCCTAATTTATGTTCTAAATATTAAACAATTAAAATCTGAGAAGTTTCGAGAAAATAATTATAAACTTCTAACTTATTTCCGTTGCCTCATAATCGACTTACCTGTCTAAAACGTGAGTCTCATTTAGCTGTCAGGCCAAAATAAACTTTTGAAACGAAATTGCTTTAACTGTTTGGAAAATATAAAAAACTCACTTTTCACGGAAGGATTCTAGTGGAAATAAACCATAAGTTTAGGGGACTTTATAATTACCCCTCAATGTAAAAGAGACTTGTCTTTTTAGGTATGGGGAGGGAGATTAATTGAGTCCTATGTCAAAGTTGTTATATATACTAGCACTGAAGTATATTCTTCTGTGCCGTAGTTGTCTCACAATGTAAGAAATATTAATAGATGTCCATTCATATAATTAGAACATCAATTATACTTAGTACCTGCTATCTAATCAATTTATTTAATTCCAAATATTCGTTAGGCTTCCATTTACCATCTACTGTCTTAATAGTTCTATACATGCTGAACCATATAGAAATAAATTATACTCTATCTAATCAATATAAGAATTTTAATTAAAAAAATCAATAATTAATTATATTATATTAAGTTCTCACCTATTTTTATATCCACGCACCTTAATAACGAATCAGAATCAAACAAAATTAAAATTGCCTGAATTAGAGAAAAAAATAATCAAGATTTTTTTATAAATATCTTGGTGCAATTAATTTCGAGACATAATTCGTAACTATATAATTCCATCTTAGTGGACTTTTTTTATGCACTTTAACTTGGAGACAAACCATTATCCTTTGTAAAATCATTTTAGTTGTTTGTTTTTGTTTTAATTTCGAGAAAATAGATTCAATTTACTTTGAATTACTTTTAGTGAATTTTTTATGCATTTTAATTGAGTAAAATAGTGTAATATGTATTCTCTATTGATTTTTGCATTATTAATTTTCTAAATATTTAAACTAATTAGATTTTGTAATGGTTCTTAATTATAGCTTCTCGCACATGATATTCATTTCTGGAAGGAGAGTATATCGAAAACCTTAATTCAGGTATTGAAAAAAAATTTTTAATTTTTAATTAATATGTTTTGAATTTTTTAAAAAAATATGGGTAAGTTACTTTAACTACTATCTGCAACTCTACTTAGTTTATAATGCAATTGAAATTAAAATAAATTTTTTTTTAAATATATTGCTTTCTCTTTGATTTTGCTGCGACGATATGGTGTGTGTCTACTTTGGCCTCATTCTTCCCATATATGACATTTTGAGCTAATTATGCAGTCACTATAAATAAGAATATTTACTTCCTTTTGTAAATCCTAATGAAAAATCTTATTAAAAGAGATACATTATGATAATTGAAAAGTTTGAGAATGAAAAAAACGGCTATTTGGTAATATTGCTACATTTAATTATTCTTTTTTCTATACTGAAACGCGAAATGATGAAAAATCACGACGAGTCATAATTTTTATTCGAATATTGTCTAGTTTATTATTTGAAATTTCTAATTAGATAAATTTTTATTATTGGTAGATTTAAATTGATGAATATTTTTTGAAACATAATTTTTTAATAAGGGAGTGATAGAAGAACTTAGACAGTTTGAAATTTAATTTTTTTTCTTAAAATTTTTTAAATAAATAATGAAGCTTTGAATACTTTTTAAATATTTATCTCATATATCTATCTATAAATCTAAGAAATATCCTCCATTACTAACATTATTGTTCTGCTATTTGATGTTTTTAAGTACATAGCTTAGTATAAGTACTTTATGTCATTGTTCGAAAGCCTAATTTATGCGAAGAAAAATATAATGATATATTAATTGGAATATAAAGTAGTTGCATGTTAAATAAATAAATATAGTTTGCATATATAAACTTTTAATACCTTGTATAAATATAATTTTAATTTAACAAGTAATAATAGTCCCCTCGTTACTTATCAAACGATTTGATTTTTATCACTCCCCTTTTCTTTTTTTTAGTTTTATAAGGTTATATTAAATTTAAATTGAGTAAAAATTCATAGTTTAATTTTTATTATTTTTAAAATCAAATATAATATAGTATATAATTTATATTAAAGATTTTTTATTTAAACTAATATATTTTGCCCCATCGGTCGATGGTCTGTGCAAAATTAATAATGATTTTAGAATATTTAATATGAATATTAATTATTGGAAATCAAATCAAAACCAAAGGAACTGTAAATTAATAGAGAATAGAAATCTTCTAGTATTAATTTTTTTCAACGAGTTTGATTTTTTATCACTCCTTTTCTTTTTTTATTTTATAAGGTATATTAATTTTAAATGAGTAAAAATTCATGTTAATTTTTATTATTTTTTAATCAAAATAAATAGTAATATAATTTAATAATAAAATTTATTTAAACAATATATTTATGCCCCACGTCGATGGGCAAAATTATAAGTGGAATCTTAGATATTAATTATTATATTTGAAATCAAATCAAACTCAAAAGGAACTTTAAATTAAAGAGATGAAAATCTTCTAAGTATTTATACTCCATTAACTCAAGTTGAATAACTTAAAAAAAAAAGCACAAACCTAATTTAGATAATGATTATTAATATAATGATTACCACATTATAGAGGATAGGTACTGTAAAAATAATATAAATGAAAAGTGCTATTTTTTAGAGTTTAAAAAAAAAAAAGAGAAACATGCTATTTTAAAGGGAGAAGTTGAAACGTCATTTTCTTTTCAATTAGATGTTAGAGTGCAACATATGTAATTGAAAAAATCATTATATAAATAAAGAGCAATATAAGTTAATCATTGTATTTATTTTAATCTAAATAAAAATTAATATTTAAATATTATATAAATAAAAAATTAAAGAGTTAAAATGATTATATAACAAATAAAGTCAACATGCAACAGACATCATAAAAGAACTAGTAAAAATAAAATCTTTAAAGATATTATAGTCCCATCATATTTAATACATACCTTATTTAGTATCCATCAAATATACTATTTATATTATATTACCATATAATGTCTATATATTATCATATTTAACATATACATTATATATCTCATTTAACATTATATTATATGGTTTCGGTTTCAAAATCGCTAATTCCAGTTATAAGTAAATTGTGACTGAACAGTATTATCATATATTATATATACCTTATGCAATATATAATATAATTTCTTATTTTATCCAATAGAACTTAGATTCAAATAAAAAAATTAATATAATCAATTAAAATTAAATTATCTTTATTTTTTTCAATCAATTAAATTAAAATCCTAAATAATATTTTTGTCAATCTATAAATTAGTATATGCATTTTTTACAATCTCAATATTCCTCGCTTATTCCCACTTTTATAAATATTATAGATTATAGATTACACATAGGTTTTTTTTTTTTGTATTAAAGTCTAGTTAAATAATTGACTTGTTTTTATACAATTTTTTATTTTACCTTTTAAAATTTTTTGACATAGGTCCATTGAGTCCATAATCTTTTCAAGTCCATTATCATGGATAAGCAAATTTCACCACTACTCCCTTTCCCAAAAACTGTTTTTGAAAAAATTTTTCTTTTCACCCTAAAATGATAAACAGCTCTAGAAAATCCCACTTGCCAAAGGTAGCAAAAAAAAAAAAAAAAAAAAAAAAAAAAATTTTAATAATTAAAAAAAAAATTAATTAAAGAAGCTGTCCTTTTGATACTGATTCTTCTTTTTCAGTTGCCGGCTCTTTGGCCTCCTATCCATCTTGTGGTTCTTAAGAAGACGAGTCACTCTATATTCTGCCTTTTACTGGATATATTCTCCCAACTGGCTTCAACCCCACTATCTAAGCTCTTTTTCTCTTCTGCATATAATAAGGATCTCTCTTCCTGCTAGTCAAGTTCAAGTCATAACCTTTTCTTTTGCTTTTTCATTTTTCTTTTTCCCCTTTAATGGCATCCAACTCTCTAACTTCATCAGCTTGGACACCTAAGCAGAACAAGCTATTCGAAAAGGCTTTGGCTTTGTATGACAAGGACACGCCGGACCGGTGGCTTAATGTCGCAAAAGCTGTTGGTGGGAATAAATCGCCGGAGGAAGTAAGAAGACACTATGAAATTCTTATCAAAGATGTTAGGGAAATTGAGTCTGGCAGAGTTCCATTCCCTAATTACACCTCGACTCGAAATTAAGTTGAAGGTAATGTGATTGCTTATTCAATTAATTTTTTGCAATCCTCGTTTCTTTCGAACTTTTTAAAAAAACTTTAATTTAATTGATTTGGTCCATAATGAGTCATGGACCCGGTTTGGTTCATAGTGAATCATGAACTCGATTTAGGTAAGTTTTCCCAAACGATAGTACCACTTCTCATGTTATAATGCCATAGTCTTGCTTAATTAATAGTTCAATCATGCGACTTTTTTTTTTTCCTCTTTTATTAAAAAAGTCTAATATTATACTCAATTAATTTTCAAAGTAATTGTCTAATTATTAAATAATTAAGGTAACTTAATTACGATAAATTTTGGCTTAATAACATTAAAAGGTTACGAGTTTGAACTCGATTTTAATTAAGTTAGTTGAGAAATATGACTTTGTTAAATTTGACTAAACGTAAATATTCTGAATACTTTTTTTTTTTTTTTTTGATAAATCTTAATCACAATATATAATTTATTAAAAAATTTGGATTTACTTTAAAAAGCACCTTTTAATTAGAATTTTAATTTGGATTCATTGATTTTTTTTTCTAATTATTATTTGACCTCAAAAAAATGGGTCTATTGATATTTCAATTGAAAATTCTCATCAAAATGAATCCAAAAGCTATAAATTAAGCATTATTTCAATTAAAAATTTTTTTTAAAGGTAAAGTGGAAAATTATATTAAATTGAATCAATGAATATAACATTTAAAATGAAATCAGTAGGGACGAAACCTCACTCTCGTATATCAAGTATATAGTGGACAAATCAGATAAAGCATTCTAACAAATCAGGTAAAACATTCAGAAAGTTGGTTGAAGATGCTAAGTAGAGATTAATGATATATATGGGAATAGCCAATAGAAATGAGCAATTAAATAATACTTACTGATGGGCCCAAGGAATAATCCAAGAAACGAGAAGCTAGAAAGTATGGAGAACTCTAAAGTTGTGGTATTATGATTAATGTGGTCCACTGATGATTAGGCCAACATCAACTTCACCTAACTACTTAACAATATATCTATTAAATAAATTGAAAAAGCTATCCCTCTCTCCTGTCTCTGTTCAACTTCTTATCCTGTCTCTAACTCAAAGACAGCTCATTCGCATCGCATGAGATCTAAACTTTGCACATCTTTGGATTTTTTTTTTCAACAAAAAAAAGAAGATTAAAAAATTTATATTAATATAGTAATTGTAATATTATTTTATAATTGTCCCCTATGAGATTTTGTCTATAAAATGCCAAGATATTGAAAAATTTTAAATATTAGTAGAGTCACGTGAGCCACTGACTTGGCCTTTTTTCGTCAAGATAAAAACATTAATTTTTTCTTTTATGGACAGTTTATTGCGTCAAAAATACTGAAAAAATGAGAGTTTAATGGTTTTAAGGTACTACACCAGTTATATAACACAAGATATTAATACGGGTAATTGAATCTCTCAATAAAAAAAAACATACTTCAAAGAAATAAAAATACTAATTAATTATCAATAAAGTGTCAGTTGGGGTGATAAGTGATCTCAATTCAGTAAGAATGACAATACGAGTTTTGAAACTTTTACGATCTACCTTGCGATTAGATTCCACTTCCTAATTATCGTAAAAATGAAAAATTAGTTAATTGGTTAATAAAAAGATAATTTTAATAAATATTCTCTTGGAAAAAATATTTATTATGTAATATTACACTTTGATATCTCTAGCATTCATGGTATTGCCTTCATGGAGGTCCCATGCTTTTCCGACCTATCTGGAACTTATGAATGTTGCTTTATTTATATTATCAAATTCTTTAATTGCAACCACAAGTTAGATTTCAATTTAAAAATAAAAAAAAAACCACAAATTAGATTTTGTTTTCTTTTGGACTAAAAAGTGATTCTTAAAAAAAAAAAAAAAAAAAAAAAAGCATACAGCTATTAGTTTCCTTCTACTTCGTTTATTTGCCTGTATTCTCCTATTAGTAATTAAATCAATGTGATTAATTTTCTACTTGTTTCTCTCTGCGGTACACAGCTCCCCAATACAAAAATTTCAAGTATGTTCTGTTTCATCCCTAATATGCACACAAATGCAACCGTAGAGAAAAATTTTAGGTTCATTTGTTTGTAGAAAAATAATTTCTAGATTTTTTGATGTTTAAAATAACTAAACAAAAAATATTTTATCGGCGAAGGAAATTAAGTCATATTAAACAAAAATAATTTTCTTTTTCTAAATTTGAAAAATATTTTTTAGATGTTGACAAACTTGTTATAAGCTTATAACCTTATAAATATAAATTTTTCTAAGGCAAGTTATTTTCTATTATTTATAAAAGTAAAAGGAGCCTATTTGGTGGTTTGAATTGATGGAATATGAAATCTATAGAGTTTAAATTTAACAAATTGTGAAATTCATGAAATTTTGCATTTAATATTTTATTTTGAAAACCAATTCATGCATAAACTTGAATGAATGTTCGTTTCAGCGTATTATAGCTTATTGGACACACATCTTATTGATTCAGAAAATAAGAAAATAAATTATTTGTTTTATCTTTTCAGCTTATCTGAATATAAAAGTTTTAAAAAAAAATAAGCTTATTCAAAAAGCTAAATTTTTTTAGCTTATTCGCTAAGCTATATAGCTTTTTCTTGACCAAAAGATAAAAATATCTTCATCTAATATTTAACTCGCAAATTATGCCCTATTATGTAAAAAAAGACTTTATATTGGATATTCCTTCCGTTTTACTTTAATAGTAACATTTCATCTTTTACAAAAATTAAAAAAATAATTGTAATATATTGATTTTCTAAAAATACATATTAATTTTCTAAAAATACATTTCATCTTTTCTCTTTTCTTTCTTTCTATCTGTCAGCTGACTATGGAATTTTATCAGTGCGCTTATTTCTTTTATATATATTCCATAATATTCAAGGGAAAAATTACGAGATTCATTTATGGAGCAAAAACATAGGAAATCAAATTTTAAGTTCTTATTTTCCAACAAAAGATTCATTCAAAAAATAAAAATACAGATAGGTATTCATACCAACATAGATGAGATACTAAAGAAACTAAATTATAGCATCTAGAGCAAGAATTTTTCGAAATGGGTAGAGTTCCAAAGCTATGCAACCATGAATTGATGAAGGCTGGATAAAATTCCAGAGAGATGCAACCATGGATTAATGAAAGTGAAATTAGGTGCCTTACTCATCGGAGTCAGTATCCAGAGAAGTTCTTTAATAGCTGAGATTGTAGACGCCTAAATGGGTAGAAGACTACATAGACCAAAACACCATGAAGATTTTTTTTTTTTTTCTTTTTGGATTTGGCTTTGTATTTAATGTTTGAGTTTTGTAGATCTGATCTTTTTTTTCCTGGAGAAATGGAAAAATATGTATTCATTATTTTCTCTGTCATTTTCAAATTGGTCTGTGATTATTTATACTAAGATTGTTATTGGGGTTTGAGTTCATGACACAGTATGGTAGTGTAGCAAAAGAAATGACATTCAAATGTGATCAATTGCGTTTCATTGTTGGTACTCAATGATCCCTCTTTTAACACCAATGCTTAGAAATAAGTAAGAGAGATCCACAATAAGCCATTTGTTTCCTATGACACCAATGGAAACACACGCATGTCGCTATAAATAAGACTTAAAATTGAAATACATATGTGTTAAGAATTCAACACATATTTCATGACATGTCATCAATTAATGAGAAAATATAATTAAATACAATATCACAAATGATGATCATCAAATAACCACAAAGATTCATCTTAAATAAATATTTATAATATGGATAAAATTAATGTATATAATTTCTAAAAAAAGTAAGCTCTCACTAACCAACAACATCAAAAGATTCCACAACACCCATATTACTAACAAGTCCCTTAAAGCCTAAAGGTCTAAGGCCTTTAGTTAGTGGATCAACAAGCTTTAATTCAGTATCAATATATTTTATCTCTATATCCTCTTTTTTCACTAAATCTTGAATAGTGAAATATTTAATCTCCATATGTTTAGAATCACTATTACTCTTGTTGTTTCTTTGAAAAGAATATAGAAGCATTATTATCACAATAAATTGAAAGTGGTTTAGAAATGGAATCCACCATAAGTAGCCTTTGAATATAATTTTTTTAAGCCATATTGCATCTGTTGTAACTCCATTACAAGCAAAAAAACTTAGTTTCATGGTAGAAGAAGCAACAAGTGTCTACTTAATATTTTTCCAGGAAATAGCTCTACCAGCAAGCATAAACACATACCTCGAAGTGGATTTCAAATCATCATGACAACTTGCAAAATCTAAGTCTGAATAGTCAATTATCTCTAGGTGATAAACTTGCTTATAAATCAACATATAGTCTTTTGTCTTTTGCAAGTACCTTAAAACATGTTTAACAGAAATCCAATGCATTGGACCAAGATTAGACAAATATCGATTAAGAACACCAACAATATATGCAATATCCGGTCTAGTATATACTTGAGCATACATCAAGTTGCCAACAACACTAGCATAAGGTACATTCATCATGGAATCTTTTTCAAAATTATTTTTAAGATACTGTTCCTTACTAAATTTGTCCCCTTTTATAATAGAAAAATAACCACTTTTATAATTTTGCATATTAAACCTACTAAGCACAAGACCTATGTAGGTTCTTTGAGAATGTTCCAATATATGACAAGATCGATCATGATGAATCTCAATAAAGATAAAAGATGTCTCCCCAAGATCTTTCATGTCGAAGATCTTAGAGAGAAATTGTTTAGTCTCACAAAATAATCCCATATCACTACTAGCCAACAAAATATCATCAACATAAAGAACAAAAAATATAAATTTAATCCCACTAGCTTTAAGATAAATCCAATGATCAATTTTATTTTCTATAAAACCAAATGAAGTCATCACTTTATCTAATCTAAGATACCATTAGCATGAACCTTACTTAAGCCCATAAATGGATTTCTTCAATCTACACACTAAATATTATTTTCCACTCTCTTGAAGACTTTCAGATTGCAGCATAAAAATATCTTCTCCAAGATCTCCATTTAAGAACACAAAATTTACATCCATTTGATGAAGTTCCAAGTTAAAATGAGTCACTTAAGCCATAATAATCCAAAAGGAATTTGTAGTGGAAACTGGTGAGAAAGTCTCATTATAATCAACACCCTCACATTGAGTAAAACTCTTTGCAACTAATCTTGTCTTGAACCTCTCAATATTCTCCTTTAAACCCTACTATTTTTAAACAACCTTTTACACCCTATAGGCTTATAACTAGTTAGAAGCTCCACTAACTTTCATACTCCATTATGAGCCATAGATGATATTTCATCTTTCATTGTATAAAATCCATAAATTAGAGTGTGTACCATTGACAGCCTCTCCATATGTAATTGGATCAACAAAATAACCTATATCATAATCATTCTCACTAAGATACACAAAATAATCATCAGAAATAACAAAACTTCTTTTCCTGGAAGATCTTCTAATAGGTTATTGTTCAATAATTTCAAGCTGTGGAGGATTATCAATTGAAATTGGATTATAAATAATATCCTCTTGTATATTATTTCCCCTCTCAATAAGTTTTCATGCAAAATAGGCAAAGGAAGAGAAACTATTTTATTTTACACTTCCTCTATAAGTTGTGAAGGAAAATCAACATTGACAACATTAAACTCTAAAAATTTATCTATCATGGACGCTATAATTCTTATTCCATGCGTAAAACAATAAAACCTGTATCCTTTAGAATGATTTGGGTACCCTATAAAGAAACAATGGGTAGTCTTAGAATCTGTCTTTTTCCCCTTTAGATTATAAATTCTAACATTTATAGGACAACCCCAAACACAAAAAATGGTCCACACTAGGTTTTCTACCTGTTCATAACTCAAAAGGTGTTTTAGGAATAAATTTGCTAGGAACGCATACAAGGCAATTTTAATAGCTTCACCTCAAAAGAATTCAGGCAAAGTAGATTTACTCATCATGCTCCGCATCATATCTTTGAGAGTGCAATTACGTCTCTCAAACACCTATTCAGGACTACCAGACATAGTATATTCAGTAAATATTCGACACTCTTATATATATTTGGCAAATGATCTCATATGTTGTTCAATCTCAGCATCTTTGCCATAATATTATCCCTACAGTCAGACCTCACAATTTTGATGACTTTTCCTAACTATTTCTCAAACTCAATATTGGAAACTATAAAATTTTCAAGTGCATCATATTTTTCTTTAATTAGAAACAAATAACCATATCATGAAAAATCATCAATAAATATGATAAAATATTTATTGCCACAAACTGTAGTTGAATAAGGTCCTCTAATACTACTATGAATAATCTTCAAAAGATTGTTGGCTCAAAGTTAATTATCCTAAAGATTTTATATGTGCTAAAGAGTTTTTATGCAGAATTTTAAAAGAAACGAAGAGTTCTTGTTCCTACAACTCAAAAATTATCATTGAAGACCATGAAGACAAAGTGAAGATTTTTATTGGTTAGTGTATGTGAGTTCTAGGAATAATATAAGATAGAGAGATTATAATATTATAAGCACAAGTTATTTTATCTCGTTTTCAAAATTGTTTTGAAATATTTTGATTGAAAGTTTTAGAGGGGAAAAACCTTCGATTATTGTGTTTCACAAAAATCTAAAAGTAAAAAGTTTTTTGGGCAAGAGTTTTTGGAGGCTATTTCAAATCAAAAAGCACTTTCTGCAAAGCAATTCTGTTTTGACAGAGCTGACATATTCTGATTAAAAGCAGACTAGTTTTCTAAAATCGCCTATCCACCTACCCAATCTTGCATGTTTTTGTGCAAAAAGGAAACCTAACAACTTTTCCAAGACCATCCCATGTGTTCCCTTTTAGCCTTCCATGTCAGAAGCATATCTTCCCTTCAGAAGATAATCCTAACATTATTTCTAACGGGAATATTTTTCCTTATGTTTCTTTTCACATTTTCAAATTATTCAAAAACATTCAAACTCTTCTCTTTAGCCCCCTTGTTTCTTTTCTTCTCTACTCTTCCAAAAAAAATTTTAAGAGAAAAGAAACTTTACAATAACTCTTTTGAAGAACAATTCTGATCTTATTTTCTGTTTTGAAAACGATTTGTAAGAGTAAGAGATCACATTTTTAAATTATTCAAAAACATTCAAAACTCTTCTCTTCAGCCTCCTTGTTTCTTTTCTTCTCTATTCTTCCAAAAAAATTTTAAGAGAAAAGAAATGTTACAATAACTCTTTTGAAGAACAGTTCTGATTTTATTTCCTATTTTGAAATCTGTCTTTTGTTCTTCTTGTGCTTATACTTGCATTTCTCTCTATCTATATAGATTTGATGTAATCTATTGTAGACTAGAGATTTTAAATGTAAACATTTATGTATAGCTTTGGTAACAAAGTTATGTTTTAAGGGTTATCAAGCAATTCTCCTTTAATGTCTTGAATTTGAGTTTTCTATTCTTTGTAAAACAGAAAGTTAGAGGTCAACTAGAACCTTTGGAAATCTAGTGGGTTAAAAGTTAAGTCTAGGTATTTGATATATTCCCTTGTAATGTTGGTTTGTCTCTTGTCCTTTAAAAGAGATAACATAGTGGAGAATCTAAAGATGAGTCTTGGAGAGTAGATGTAAGTAGGTTAGTGTCGAACCACTATAAATCCTTGTATTAAATCTTATTTTAATTTCTGAGATCTTGCTTGATTGCACTTGCTCTATTTACACATTTGTTTATGTTTTTTGAAATGCAAAGTCGTTCATGATTTTTTAATTCTGAAAGTGTAAAAGCTCCATTTTGTGGATTAATATAATTCTAAATTTTAGTATTGCGATTTCTCCAATTCTAACTTATCCTAACACATTAAGAAGAAATCTAAATCTGAATTATATTCATTGTTCTAATCTTTTTATAAGTTTATGAGGAATTTCTAATTGCGATAACTTGCGCTTATAAAGACTCTCTACTTCCGCTTCATTAGAATTCTAATTTGAGTTTTAAAAATTAATTTTTAGAAAGGTCAACCCACCCTCCCTCCTTGGGGTATACCATATAAAATGGGACCCACAAAGATCTAAACCCATATTAGCACCTTTCTTTCTAATTTTTGTCAGTTTGCCTCTAATGCAATCCACACAAGTTTCTAAGTCACTAAAATCAAGATAAGAAAGAATATTATCTTTTATTAATCTCTCTATCGATCCTTTCCTTAGATATATGACCTAAACACTTATGCCATAATGAATAAGATTTCTCTTTGATTGAAGGTCTCTTAGAAATAATATTTACCTCACAATGAATTTCATTTTCATATAGTAGTTTTAATTACTTTAGTTAGCTTTTCATTTAGTTTTATTTATATTTTTCATCAAAGCTTCCTTGAAACATAATATGCTTGATCTTAAGGAAATTTGTAGGATTTTGGCATAGAAAAGAGCAAAATAAAGCAGAACACTCAAGCTCTAGCACGCCCATTTCGTGCAACTTAGCACGCTCGTGCTGGAATTAAGGAAAATCAGTGTAGAGACTCAGGCCCTAGCACGCCCAAGCCGTGCTACCTGGCACGCCCGTGCCGCAAGAGGACATCAATCCAAAGGCATGCTTACCTGAGCATGGTCCGTGCTGCATACCATCATAAAGACTCAGAGCCTAGCATGCCCTAGCCCACGCCCGTGCCATAGATTCCTCTCTAGACATGCCCTTGAGCACAGCCCGTGCTGATCCATCCTTAGAACTCAGGCTCCAGCACGCCTTGACCATGCTGCACGGCATGCCCGTGCTGCGAATCAAGTTTTATTTTGGGTTGCGAATGCCAGCCAATTCCTACTACTTACATGGGCCCACATAAGATGATTTCCTGGCGTGCAGATCAACTTCTAATCCTATTTAGGCGCGTGGGGGAGTCCTAATTGAAAAGAAATTCAAAGCCTAAACAATTTCCTATGTATAAAAGGTTTCTTACTCAATAAAGACTCTATTTCCCAAACGAAGTTGGATTTTCTCCCAAGAAGTCTATATAAAGAGAGAACCAATTCATTGTAGAGATATCTCTGGTTCTATAATCTTTTGTTCTATTATTTTCTATTATCTTTTCTTCTCTTAAGACTTAAGTGATTAGAATTGTGGTCAAGAATTCAGGAGCCGTCCACGTTATTTGAACTAGTTTTTTATCTCTGAAATCTTAATCTTCGTTTTTACTTTTCATTTTACATTGATTGTGGAAATATGTATCACCATTTAATTGAGTTTTATTAATTACTATGTCGACACTAAACTTCATAATAGGGATTTGGATGTAGCTAATTTTTTTTCAATTTAATAAATAGATGTTTTTTTCTTTTTTACTTATAATGTTAATTATTCAACTTAATGCCTTCCAGGCAGAGTTTCTCCCATGGGGATTGATTTATGTTCATTAATCATATTGGAGAAGGGTTTTTTGATATGAAAAAGGTAATAAATTACATAGAATAATAACTTGATGCGGAAGCTATATG